ATCGCAATGAAAAATTTTTCTGTTGATAGGGTTTTTTAATATGAATTTTTTAATTTTTTTTTCAGTTTTTTCCTGAGATATTTTCACATTTTAGGCCATATCTCGAGTTAGAAACGTTCAATTGGGTCGCACGAGGTGCCATATTAAAGGTAAACAAATTCCCAACAATTGTTTTCAACACTTTTTTCCAATCGGTTCAATAGTTTAAGCGTTAGGGGTCAATATATATGAAAAACTTCGTTGTTTCTGCTAAAATATAACACAAAAGTTTCTTCCATTGCCATGCAAAGATAAGGACTGTCAAATTATGTCCAGTTTCTTATTGTTTACGTATAGATCGCACTATTACGAAGAAAACAAGCTTTTGTTGAAGAAAATCTATGGATAAATATCGGAGTTCGGAACAATTGAGTAAAGGTACAAAAACTCCAATTTTACTCTGTTTTTGCATTTTTCGGTCGGACTTGAATATTTCATTATACGTACAATGTATACCTAACCGAGGTGTCGATCTGTTTACACGCCTAGCGCTAACGTAGAAAGGGACAGACAGTAGAGAAGAGAGAGAGAGGTCCAAAGACACAAAGCGAAGAGTCGAAACGTATCGGAGAGACTATATATATCTCACTTTCGTTCGCTAAGAACAAACTATGTATCTCGCTTGGTTCAGAAATAACAGAAAGTACCACCTCGTTTTCATCGGTCAGCGGTGTCTCTATGGGTATTACCATTTCTATGCAGAAATTAATTGGCCTAAGTAACATTCTAAAAAACATTGAGTTATGGCCTAAAGTAAAATTCCAATTTTACTCTGTTTTTGTATTTTTCTTCAAACTCCGGTATTTATCCATAGATTTTCTTCAACAAAAGCTTGTTTTCTTCATAAAAGTGCGATTTATACGTAAACAATAAGAAACTAGACATAATTTGACAGGTTCTATCTTTGCATGGCGATGGAAGAAATTTTTGTACTCTATTTTAGCAGAAACAACGAAGTTCTTCATATATATTGACTCCTAACGCTTAAACTATTGAACCGATTGGAAAAAAGTGTGAAAACCAATTGGTAGAAACTTGATTACCTTTAATATGGCATCTTGCGCGACCCAATCAGACGTTTCTAACTTGAGATATGGCGTAAAATGTGAAAAAGTCGAAAAAAAATTCAAAAATTCATATAAAACGAACCTATCCATAGGAGAAATTTTCATTGCGAAATTTCGAGTTTAGCAAGCCAAAATACATAAGAAAAAATTGTGGCATTGAATGCACATTTTGGCTGTAAACTAATTAGCGATAGTACCAGAGAAACCTTTCTGCATCCTAGGAGCATATCAAGCCTAAACATTCAAAATTTATAACTAACTCTACCGTCAGTTAAATAGAAAATCTTCAATATCTATCTTCAAATCGATATCTCAAACTATTTTTTAAAATTTGAAGACTACTTTTATATGATAACTACTCGATTTAACTGTTTTATCAAAGAAATTTTCTCAAAATTCCCCCTTTTTATTTACCAATATTAAATCGAAATCCTATTCAATGTAAACAAATTAAACATTTATATCAGAGGGACGTCCATAGACAACCTAGCATACCATAACTTCGTATGTCCTTGATTGTCCTTGAGTTACATACGACCATCACCGACCTTCACTTCCCCTATTACTGTAATTGAACTTGAATTGTGTACGACATTTGTTAACCTAGAGTTACGTGTAACCTTCGGTTGCGTGTGACCTCGATTAACCTTGAGTTACAAGTAACCTTGATTGCCATTATAGGTTGTTAAACCTATCTTCGGTACAGCCTTCGGACAGCATTAGGAAAATGATGATTCCTGATAGCCGTATTCCGTCATTTAGTTCGAGCACGAAAGCAACCCTTAAAGACGAAGAGATGCAACTCGTTTTGCACCCTACTGGGACGTTCAGGGGCCACTATAGCGTCCAGTTGGCATCGTCGAGGAAAACACCTCTGCCTGTCTGTTTAATTCTCCGTTATTATCGTTATTTCGTGCCGTTAATATTAATGGACCCAAACGTGTATCGCTGTACCGACGATGGAAACGCTCGGGACAGGGAGAAGGAGAGAGAAGGCTCGTGGCTGTAATTGAATAGGCGCAGCAGTGCGTACTACGTGCTCGTAAAACATTAATGACCTATAGCCGCTGACGATCGTTTCGCGTTATTATTCCTCAAAGTCAGAGCCAACCGGTGTGTTTATCCTCAGTATTTTCAATTTTCTTGACCGTTGGGTGAACCGACCGCTACGCGGACTAGGCTAAATCGTAATGGCGAGCAGGACCGTTTCAGCGTGCTCGAAAAACGGGACTTGAAAGTGGAACGAGGTATTCTGTCTTGACGATTCGATCCTCATTCTTTAGTTTTAGTTTTAGAGTCGAAAGGAAGTAGGAGTAGAATTATGCGTTGTGAAACTGGGGATGAAAGTATGAAGCTAGACGATTAGAGACGTTTCGTAACATTCTATACATTGTATCAGTCCAAGTTCAAACATGTCATGATAATGAAAGATAAATACGAGGATCTCTGAAATAAAATGGCTACCCTCCCTTGATATAATGACATATGAAGATCCAATTGCCGACGTTATATCAAGGGTGTTATACCAAATCAAGAATTTATCTTTGAAAATGGATTCCACATATTTGGTAATGTTCTATACATTGTATAAATCCAAGTTCAAAAATATCACTTACTTTTTATTTTGAACTTGAACCTTATACAATACATCACTTCTTATCATTCATGATATTTTTGGTTCACATTTAGGAATGATTTACATTTGGGGCCTCCGGGGATAATTAAAGATAAACACGTGAAAGTCTGAAATAAAATGGGTACCCTTCCTCGATATAACGACATGAGAAGATCCAATTGTCGACCTTATATCAATTCATTTTCAAAATAAATCCCACATAGTAAGTAGCTGTTAAACAGTCTATCAATCCAAGTTCAAAGATATCACCTTACATTTTATTTTGAACTTGAACCTTACATAATATATCACTTCTTTTCATTCATGACATTTTTGCTATCATGTTTAGGAATGATTCACATTTGGCGTCCCTCGGGACAATGAAAACAAACACGAAAGTCTCAGAAATAAAATGGCCACCCTCCCTCGATATAATGACACAAGAATACCCAATCGCCAACGTTATATCAAGGGTTCGCTGTGCTCCGGGCCCAGACCCGGCACAAACGCCCCGTACGGGAGAATTGCAGGCGTTGCAACCTCTCGCAACCGATCCCAGAGAGGAAGACACGAAAAGCAGAGAAGATTATGCCTCTCAGGGATTTTTGAGCGTGACAGGATCCTGCTCACCCTGAACTCTCCGCGACCCTCTTTCCGTCCTTTTTTCGCCGTTCGTAATCCCGGTTGCACCGTGACGCGGCTTTCCAGTTTCCTCGAAGCGTTTCGATGCACGTAATCACACGTTCAACGAACGATCGCCGCGGCACGGCGTCACGCAACGAAACCCCGGCCAGTCCTGCACGAAGGGGAAACTGGTCTCCGCGGTATGACGAGTTAATAGATTAATCGTCGGGAACGAACGCCCTCGCTTGGTCTATCTGCCATTTCGACGACCTAGACCTTCGAAGGACGTTGATAAGTTCCTGTTTCCAGAAGGTTCAGGCTCGTTTACATCCCGCTAGGGATCTCCCCTTGGCCGGTGTACCTCGAAACCGTCATTTCACGCTGCTTGCCCTCGGAATTCGTTCCGAGAGGACTTCGCGGCGGAACGGTTCCTGGGGCGATATCGAGTTACACGCCGGGACACCTCTGAACTCACGGGGAAAGACAAACTGATGGCGCGGGACGCAAAAATGAAGTAATGAAACTGATCCTGATCCGTGACCCGTGTGATTGGCTTGCCATGTAAGGGTAACAGGCGTCCGGTTGGATAGAGTAATCTGCGCTATCATTAATCGTACAGATTTTCTCCGGGGTTGAAAACATCTCGTTGTAGTAGAGGTTAGGTCCTTGCATTGTGTGAGTTGGTATGAACGTGGAGTAGGATGCGTGAAATTTGTTAGCCTTGGTGAATATGAAGCGATATTTGGTTAATCAGGTTTTCTTGCGTAATTATATCGAGGAGGATAGCGATTTTGTCCTAGAAATCAGAAAATTCGGAGTGCAAAGGGTTAAGAGGTCTAGTCGAACTTCAGCGATCCCTCGATAGAGGGCGGGTGGTGGAAAAGTGTGTAGCGTCGCCGACTACCACGCAGAGACCCCGGGTTCGAATCCCGGCCGTCCGACCCAGTTTTTTCAAGGTAAGAAAAAAGTATCGGGAACTTCTGGCTTATTTGAAATGTAAGAAAAGCATATAATATTACAAATATAAAGAGAAAAAAATATATATATACGTAACGGAAAAGAGAAGTGACAACAACAACGATCCTCGACAGATCGCGAAAGTCTCCCTAGTTACCTTCTCCTTAAATCACCCTATCCGTTCCAAAGAAATGGTAATTAAAACTATGACCGTAAATTACGAATAACTTTGATTCATACTTTGATTAATACGCGCTGCAAGTTCATACGGAGTTTGATAACGTGCAGCTTTAATAAGATTACACATGCAAGTCACATCGCCTAAGACTTAGCTGTGTCATTAACTGTCATCCTTGCGCGAGATTGCTAGACTGTGGTAATGTTAGGAATCCGACTAGCAGTCTCCTAACCTAACAAGAAGATAACACGAATCTTCCTCTACCAATTACGTTTACCTTTGATTTGTCGCAACTACTGATAGGCTTCGTCGAGACGCGTACCCAATCCTCTGTTATTGTAAATCATGGAAAGTGTCGACCGCTAGGACTGCGCATGCAATCAATCTACACCTCTGACAGTTGCGTTCAGGCCTTCGAATTAGCTGTGATAGTTAGGCCTCTAAATAACGCGATTAGCGACCACGTAGGTGAGAAAATGGTATTCAGGATGGATTCTAGAAAGAAACACGGTGATTACTTGCAAATGAGTGTATTTTAAAATAATAACTATACAGTAAGAAAATTACAAATGTTTTCTTGCGCTCATCACAACCAGCACGCAGAGTATTAACAAATGTACAAAATGCCTGGAGGCTGCTTCAGCCGCTACGCTAGGGGTACCAACAAATTTACAAAATGGTACACGATTGTCGTCTTCATCTCGTCCATCTAGGATTGAGAAGACCTGATGTCGGTAGACGTCCAGAAGACTACGGTTAACATGTTGACAGCCGGACTAATATTTTTGGAAAAATATTGTTGGGTTAGTTAAAAAGTCCGTTCGGATTTTAAGGCATAAACAATTTTTTTTTTTTTAGAAGAGGAAATATATTCACTCGGTAACATATTGTTTATTTTGTTCTATGATCTTTTACTATCTTTTGGAAAAATTCATGATTTTGCATTTGAAGAAGATTGTAACTGTAGTGAAACAACCATCATCACAAACCGAATGAAATTTTTGGCCATCCTAATAATTCTGTAACCTCACCTTTAGAATTTATTAATTTTGGTTCTCTTCTTGCAGAAAGGAACCATTTTAAAAAGACCATCCCATTAGTTCAGCCAGACTAATATTTTTAGAAATATAATCTTTCTAACCTCACTTTCAAAATTAATTAATTTTGTTTCTTGGCGAATAAAAGTGGCAATCAAAGTGTTAAGAGAAAATCTCTACTTACAATAAAAAACCATTTTAAAAAGATAACCCCCTTATTATTCCAGCCGGATTAATATTTTTGGAAAAATAATCTTTCTAACCTCACATTCAAAATTAATTAATTTTGTTTCTTGGCGAAAAAACGTGGCAGTCAACAAATTTTTAAGGGAATATCTCTTGCAATAAGGAACCATTTTAAAAAGACCACCCACCGTCCCTTCCTACCGCCGATACTTTACAAATTTAGTCCAGTCACTCCGCCGTCACAGCTCTCAGATGAAGGGATCTCGCTTCGCGGATGCTTCGGGACGTCGAATACTAGGGATCGATCGGTTCTAATAATATCGATCAGCCGCAGCACAGATTCCTCGGTACCGGAAGTCGCGCGGCGTCCCGCTACATCCTCCATACACGCACGGGACCGTAATTACGCGCTCATTTTCCCCGGTCAACAGCCTTGTAAATCTTCCGCCCGGTTCCCCGTGAAGGACGCCGCTGCTCTCAGCGCGGAAAAAGGGGAGAAAAAGACCTCGAAGGGATAATTTCTACGGCAAATGGCGTTGTAAATCCCGTCGGTGCATCGCTCCACCGTTTCAGCCCGAACGGTTCTCCAGTTCGATCCAGGAAGTCGCGTGTTATCTCTATCAATGAACTTCGACGGCTAATTTCGATGCGTTGGATGTCCACGAGGTTCACGAGTCCAGTGACGAATGCTCGACTAGGTGGAGAGGTAGACGGGTGGACAAGGTAGACTCGGAGCAACTGGAGAATCTAAAATGACTGCTCTTAATTAAATCGGTGGTCTCGATTTCAGTGGGAATTGTACACCGGTATTGCTAGGTTAGGCCTGGGTAGACAGGTGGACAAGGTAGACTCGGAGCAACTGGAGAATCTAAAATGACTGCTTTTAATTAAATCGGTGGTCTCGATTTCAGTTGGTACACCGGTCTTGCTAGGTTAGGTCTGGATTAGGTCTAGGACCTCTAGCTTCAGCCCTTCACCAGCAGTACAATCCCCGATCTATAACTCTGGAGAATCTCTTGTCTAAGTTCTCGGTGGCTACTCAGTGAACTCATTCTGAAACCTTCATCGTGCCCAGGTCTCTGGAGCATGCAGCGAATCCCTGGTCCAGGAGGAATCACGATCAGCAGACTGTATTGTAAATCCCTTCTTCATCTTCAGTATTCGCGTCAGTGATCTCGGAGTGCGACAGCGCCAGCTTCACGTAGCCCCTGTCCTTCTCTCTGGTCCTATTCTTCCCTCCAGGTGGCGGTGGCTTCTCTTCAGGCGGGCTGGTGGTGGGTTCGCAGATCTCGGCGTAGATCTCCTCTGTTTTAGGTGGCGGTGTCGATGGTAGGGGCGTCAGGCTGTCTCTGACCTTGGAGTACGGTGGATCCAGGTCCTGCTGGGTTTGAACCTCCAGCACGCTGGTGGAGACCGACCGTTGAACCTGTTGCCTCGAAGAAGCGGACGCTTGCAATAGATTCGTCTCCGATTCTAAACTGGCATATCTTTCGGACCTCATGCCGATTTCCGGGCGAACGGCGAACGTGAAGGAGGCTGACTTCTTGGCGGGGTTCCTGCTTCTTCCGCCCTGGGCTATCCTCGAGATTCTGTCGAGGATGCTGTTGTTGTTGGTGCTCGTTCGACTATTGCTGCGATCCCTGATAGTCGTTCTCTTTATGTGTTCCAGGCCCTCCTTCAGACTCTGGAGGATCGGCTTCGCTTCTGTTTTCGATTTGATCTCCTTCAAGTGGAGCTCCTTCAGTTGACCATTGCTGCTGGGTGGTTTCGGGGGCGCGACGCGTGGTTCCGTTGCTCTCTGGTCCAGGGCTCTTCTGCAATTGGAATGACAGTACGGTAGAACCTCGATTATCCGCGTTTATACGAACAAAATTGTGCACAGCGTTGAATATACGAAGTCGTAGCTGAAATCAGTACCCTCGAACACCCCTAGCTGAGCTCAGTATCTTCTAGCCCCCTGTAGTTGAGCTCAGTATCATCTACCTTCCTGTAGCGAGGCCTAGAATCTTCTAGTCCCCCAACTGAGTTCAGTATCTTCAACCCCCTTCTAATTGAGCACAGTATCTCTAGACTTCTGCAAGCTGAGTTCAGTGTTTTCTAGCCCCCCTCAGCTAAGCTCAGTATCTTCTAGCCCCGTGTAGCTGAGCCTAGAACCTCCTAGGCCCCCTTAGCTAAGTTCAGTACCTTCTAACCCCCTGTATCTGACCCTAAAATCTCGTAGCCCCCCTTAGTTGAGCTCAGCATCCTCTAGTCCTCTGAACCTAATACCTCTAGCGCTTCGTAGCTTCTACCTAAACCATAGGCGAACTTAGATGTCCAGTATGGAGTGTTCATGGAGATAATGCCTAATGAATCTCTAATATCTGAACTACGCGCGCATTGCACCCATCTTATCCCCAAAACCTATTCGTCCAAATAAGGTTCTACTGTACACGATTGATTAAAAGAGTAGCAGTCAAATAACTCAATCCCATTTTCTAGGATTTCTTTCGAGGATTGCAACCGCAAGTAGCACCTAGTCACAGAAGGATCCTAACCTGTTTTGGATCTTAGCTAACCATTTCCACTTCACAATTGCTCCAACGCTGTTCCTTACCTGCAGGCTGAGAGTAACCGCTGCATCTTCGGCGAGGCTAGCAACCGCGCTTCAGAAGGACAGCCTAACCGCGCCCTTTTCACGCGAGGTGCCGTTGGTCCTGTGGCAACCAGCTCGAGGAGCTCCGGGACAGTGGAATTTGGCACAGGCCTCTCGGGTACCAGCGGCACTGCGCAACCTAAGACTATGGGGCCCCTAGTTGCACCTTCTAGTTGCATCAGGCCGCTGTAATCTCGTGGCAATGGTATTGGCAAGGGTCCAGCGACTAACCGTACCTGTTAATCGGATTGCATACTACCTGGTTAGCATCTTGGTACTATAATGCCTTCTTTCGTGTTAGGATTGGAGAAGAAAAAACAGCGTCAGTTTACATCCCAACAACTTTTTTTAACAAAGACTGGCTCAGTTTACGCTAATTAATTTCTATGCACCTATGCAAGCTGTGATAGTAGTTCGACTCATTTATGTACTACATGCATTAATTACATTTGTCTTCCTTTGGAGACGTTATAAATCCGATGGCGCTGTATTGAATTTTACTCTTTGACTGCGGAAGGATTTGTGCTGGAAATTTTAAGAGGCGTAGAGGTGTGAATTTTAAAAAATTATAAGCTTATAGGGAATGATAAGACGGAACTTTTTTATATTTACGGTTTATTCATAGGACGTTTAGTTTCAAAAATAAAAATAGAAAATGTAGATGATCTTTTTCATGAGATCTCATCAGTGGTCTGATCCTGTTGTTGTTTTCTCAAAGAAAGCGAAACAATAGTCGAACAATCGAATTTATAAAAAATATCATCTTATAGAGAATGACAAAACGAAACTTTTTTATAATTACAGTTTAATTGTACGATGTTTAGTTTCTGAGATAAAAATTAAAAACTGAAAAGACCGCATTTTTTCGTAATTCAATTTTTGCAACGAACTTCTGATTTTGCAATTTTTATTCCCGAAACTACGCGCCCTATGAATAAACTGTGAATATAAAAAAGTTTCGTCTCATCAGTCCATATAAGCTGATATTTTTTAAAAATTGATTAAACGACCATAAACATTTCTCTGAGCCTATTACTCGGGTGGCGTACATGTATGATGCACTTCGCAGTCAAAGGGTTAACCGCCATTAATGTAGATTCAGTTTTTTGGCAAAATGTGGTCTGTAAAATTTACCCTCAGAGGTAGATCTTTTCTGGCAAGCTGATGGACTCTGTACAAAACGGCGTCGCTTCCTGTGTCGAGGCTTCCGCTTTGGCAAGTAGCGTAAAACTCTCCTCTCGCTGAAAGCGGCGCGAACAGCTCGTGCCCGTGAGAATCCAAGCACTGCGCGTACTGATCTCGTTCCGATGACCTTGAACTCTTACCCTCGGGGGCGCCGCTAACGACGCCGGAAATGCCGCTGGAAACTGGCGCCCTCCGCGTGTCCTGGAACACCGCGGCCAGTCGTAGAACTTCACCTGCGCGCACGGTCGTTTTCGTGTAGTGAGCCCTCAGATTGCCGTTTTCTGAAACAGAAATTTCCAGTTTGCTCTGATCGAATCAACGAAGTATATTAAACAAGAATTTGTTAAACTAGAGGTTCACACGATTATATTATCATTGAGAGTTACTATAATTAATAGAGGTAGCTATAATTAAAGGGTAAACAAATGTTAAATTGTCTTGCTTTGTAAAAAAAAAACAGGAATGATAATGAAATTTTGTTTAATTAAATATTATAATGTTGCCTGGTTCATGGTTTCGTATATCTAGATGGAAGTTTTCAAGTGGACATAGAAATGAAATGAAACTTGATGAGTCCAAAAAATACTATTTAATTTCGTTCACCTGAACAGCGATGTAAAGCTGAGAAATTTGGATTTTTATATAGCATTTAGTCAGATTGATACATAATACCAATGAAGAACAACTCAATAACATTGAATAAATTAAACTGCCAATAAAGAACAACTCAATAACATTAAATAAATTAAACTACGAATTAAGAACAACTTAATAACATTAAATAAATTTAATAAAAAATAATAATTCAACAGTTGATACACTGTTACATGAAATGAATAGATCCTAACTCGTCATTTTATGTCAAGGAGTTAAAGAAGAATTCCTCAGTACTATTAATAAAATTTCGTCAAAGTAGGTATTGCAGTATTGGCTGAGTCTTGGTTTCATATCCCTAGGCTGATGTTTGCAGATGGACCACGTGACGCAGGCTTAGCAATTTTACTAGTACCCCATTGAACTTCCTTCGCAGCACACTGAGCGCCTCCAAACATGGCGGAGCAAGGAGTCAGCTAATCAAATATTACCAGGCAAATCTAATGGATTTATTCCACCCACATAGTATGTACTCCAACATCAGATGGACAGGTAACTCTCCAGCCAACCTGTGTCAGCCTCTCAATCTCTTTTGCATGCGAATTTCACTCATTTGTATCGAACGTTACAGATATAAGTTTCCAGAATTTTAATAATGACCCTTTCAGACATGAATTATTTTTTTTTCCTCGTAATTTAATTTTTAGGGTTAACTTAGGCTAAAATTAGTATGGAAAAATAAAAATAAATCCTGATAGTGCAGTTTTCGAGGACAACTGGTCTTTCTTCATATACACGAATAAGGACTTACGCCCTAAATGCAAGCGTTGGTAATGTATGAGTATTTTTAAATTTTGCGTTCTTAATTATCGAAGCCAGGTCTGAAAGGGTTAACTAACTGACTATGACTAGATATAGTCAGTCTCATAAATATTCGTAACCTCTGCATTTATCAACCCTCTTCACACTCTTGGCCGCATATGGGACTATTAGTTTTTTATCATTTTAATTACTGTCAATAATAAAAACAACAAAAATTTGATAATAATTTATTCACTACAGAATCCCTCAACAAGAGCCGTAAACATTTTATGGTTTGGCTGCAGTGATTTGGCTAAAATTTTTTTATATTATAGTACCCTATTAAATACCTTTTTGTAAATTTTTGCAGATATTTGTACCGAACCATAAAAATGATATGAATTTTAAAAAGAAAGCGTCATCTTTTTTTCAAATAGCTATAGCACTGCAAAAATTGACCAAATTAGATGGGTTGCTTTCAAAATGTGCGTTTTTGAATGAACTGTACGAAAGAAGACAAATCAAAATATTTGAATTCGTATTCCATACAATTTTTTTGATTTTTCGGAAAGAAACTTAAATTTTTCACATTTCCACACTTTTAATTTTTTTTTCTTTCCCTCTACAAAAACTTTGATGTTTTTCCCGATTTCATGACGCAAGTCCCACTATGGACCGATCGGATAAACTCGAGTTTATAGTATTTTCTATTTTTTTTTTTTTAATTGAAAATAATTTTTTCCTTCTTTTGCATATATATGGTTGGAAAGCACCAAATTTTACATTATGTTACACAGTGTCGCCTTTGCACTTTGCTGGGAATCACCTTCATGTACCAACAGCTCATTTCGATTTCACATCTTTTACTTTCTTGTAGTTTTTTATGGAGATCTTCTATTTTTTTGTTATTACTCCTTTTCGTCCTCCACTTTTTCATGAACTTGGCGTAATTGTTTACTTTTCTGAAGTTTTTTATGGGGTATGTGTACAGAATGTCCCAGCTTAAGTTGAAAAACGAAACTTGACCATCGTATTTCGTTAAATAACAAAGTTAACGAAAATTCCTGCTCGCTGAAGCATGAGTGACATTTTACCATACAATTTCCATATTTGAAATTTTGCATTCGATCGATAGTTTTGGAGTTAGACCTCCGTATTACTTAGGCTGGGACACCCTGTATAACGAAAAATTTATTTGGAAACATCAATCACCTATCATTCAATTTAGACAAATTCTTCTAATAAAAACAGAGCGTACGAATATTTATGGGACTGACTGTAGCTAGATATAGCTACCGAAATGCCTAGATATAGCTAGATATAGCTAGATGGGACATAAAAGATCGTCCTCCACCATAATACTCCAGGCAACTCCCAGCCAACCTGCGTCAGCGTCTCGATCTCTTTTGCATCCGAATCTCCCTCGTCCGCATCGAATATGGATACAACTTGTCAGAATTTTCACGCGCAACTATTAACTACAATAACTAAACGCGAAACGACTAGATATCGGTAGAAGAGACACGGGCACCGCGATCTCCATAGAAAATCCCCTTTCACGCGCGACCATAATCGTTATAGTACATAATGGTATAACGCCCGTGTGTATCGTAAGAACCCCAACGGCTTTCACCGGCCCGCATGCCTATTACGTTACGTGCCCCCTCGCCTACGTTTAAACGCACGAACAAGCGCGCCGGAGAGTTGCATTAACAGACACATTGACATTCGTGTCACGGCCAGTCGCTGTATCCGAGGGAATAATCCGAAGCTGGAGACCCGCGCGTGAGTGCACGCACGTCTCCGTGCACGCATAGCTCTGCGGATCCATTGTCACGTCCTAGCCGAGTGACGTACGCCGCGACAACCCTACCTTCGCCACGGTTTTACGCTTGTACACCGTGTCGAAGCCACCTTTCCGTAGTATCTATCCGGGATCTCCTAGATGATCGTGTTCCGCGTCGGAGATAGGCCCAAGGACGGACGCCGGAGTACTTAGGGCTCGGTTGAATTGTAATTTACGGTTTTTCTTACGATGATAAACGCGTCGCGGTATTGTAGGTAGCCGGCTGCCTGGCGCGACTGTAGATCGTAATCTGTTTCCGGATTTGGAATGCTTCGGTGTGACGTGTCGCATGGTCGGTTTAAAAGAGTGACAGTAGTGATCGTGGAAAGTGGCATGTTTGTGGGAAGAGGGCCCCCGAAGGGAGGCATTCGAGGACTATTAGGGTTCTGGTTTATGTTTGTTTTTGCGTGGATGAGTACAAGTCGGTTGGCAGGTGATGCAGGTGGAGGCTTCTTGCGGACTATGGATGCTGATACGCGGACTCCGGATGCTTATGCAAATTAATATTTTCATAGGTGGTGAGAAAGATCTGGAAGTTAGAGGAGAGTGTGGATTATATTCTGAGTATGATATGTGTATTATTGTTGATTTTTTATATGTTCTTCATTTCTACAGATTCTCGTGCAGCTTTTCATATTTTCATCTGGGATTAATGCATAAACATCCGCACGCCACTGATAAGGATGTCAAATGAAATAATGATTCTATTGATAGGAAAAAGTGACCCATTAACCCTTTGACTGCGAAGAGGGTATATATACGCTCTCGAGAAATGAAATCAGAGTAACGTTTATGGTTGTTTAATCGATTTTTTTTAAATATCAGCTTATAGGGGATGATGAGACGAAACTTTTTTATATGCACAGTTTATTTATAAGGTGCTTAGATTCGGGAATAAAAATTGAAAAGTCAGAAGTTCGTTGCAAAAATTGAATTACGAAGAAATACGGTCTTTTAAGTTTTCAATTTTTATCTCTGAAATTAAACGACGTACGAATAAATTGTAAATATAAAAAAGTTCCATCTTATCGTTCTCTATAAGGTAGGAATTTTGTTTAAATTCGATTGTTTAACTGTTGTTTTTTTTTTCTTTAAGACAGAAACAACAGGATCAGACCATTACGAGATCTCACGAGAAAGGTCTTCTAAGTTTTCTATTTTTATTTTTCAAACTAAACGTCGTATGAATAAATTGTAAACGTAAAAAAGTTCCGTCATATCATTCTCTATAAGGTAGGAATTTTTTTTAAACTTGCAAGATCTTTTTTAACTTTTTAATTTTTGTTTTTGAAACTAAACGTCCTATGAATAAACTGTAAATATAAAAAAGTTCAGTCTTATCGTTCTCTATAAGATGATATTTTGTAAAATTTCACATTTCTACGCCTTTTAGAATTCCCAGCAAAAACCGTCTCGCGATCAAAGGGTTAAAAGTTGATTAAAGAATTAGACTGTTCATTTATGCGAATCTTCAATACTTACCCTGTTATCATAAAATTAGACCCATTACGTTTTCTCTTCAAAACAGTAAAAACATAATATTCATTCTTATCCGTGTTAATATTCTACCTGAAACTATGGTGAATATAACCTACGTTAACCTAAGCCCTAACCAGATCTACCAGATAAACTTTCATCAGTTCATTAAAAGTTTTCCCCACGAGAGGAGGCAGGCCTAATCGCGGCATTAAAAGTGTCCACGTAACAACTATAACTGCCCACTATAATAACAGTTAAGAGCATTATCGTACATTCAGATCATAGTAATTCTTGCACGTAACTCCTCGCAACGGTGTGGGGTTCTTAATGAGCGAAACGATAACCGCTACTCGCGAAACATGCAATTACGTGCTATTTGCGAAGCGAGTGCACAGCTGGCTGACTTGCTACCCGATCGAAAGCTACCAAACTTACCCATCTTGGAGTGTGTCAGCGTGTAAGCTCTGAGGGGTTTGGCGAGCAGAAACGCCGGGACGCCGGCACGAACTAAAGCACCCACTCTTCTGTACACCCTAGCGCTTCCAGTACCACTGTTGTTCGAGACAACGGAGAACCAGCCTGCAACGAATGAAGTTACATGAAAATTAAATGGAATTTTTATCGTCCGTTACTACCAGCCAACTATGACCGAATTCCGTGCATTAACTGGATTAAATTCTAATTGCTTCATCTAAAGGTATTTTAGTTTCAGATTCGAGCTGAGATAGTTATGTTAGAGTAGGAAAGTTGATCGGGATATTTACAAGGTCACTTCTAGGTAAAAACCGTCTACGTTAAATCTCAAATTTTATTTAGAAATATTTTAGTTTCAGATTTGAGTTGAGACAGTTGTGCTATATTTTAAGTAGAAAGATTGATTGAAGTACAGCCACTTCTAGGTAAAATTCCTCTACATTAACCCATTGAGTGCCAAGGAGCAATATATAGCTCCTCCATACACTTGCAAAAAGGGTCAAGAGCGAAATATCACTGTTCAAAGCTGTAAGTGCTATAACTCCTTAAAAAATCAATTTTGTTTCTCGAAAATAACGTCAATAATGTACGTAGATTTTTTGGTGCTCTTCAATTTTATTTCAAATACTGTAATGCGTGTAATATACAGGATATTCCACAATTGGTGTTAGAACCGGAAATAGAGGGTAGCTGAGAGGATTCTGAACCACAATTTCTTTTGCGAAAATGTTAGATGGCGCTTCGTTTTTGAATTATTAACGAATAACCACCGACAAATCACAGCGCTCGAGTAGCGCGCGCTCAGCCGCGAGAGGCTGGCCCAAGAGCCCTGCGCGTGCACCTCGGGAGCTGCGATTGGTCGGTAGTTTTTCGTTAATAATTCAAAAACGAAGTATCATCCGATATTTTTGCAAAGGAAACTATAGTTCAGAATCGTCTCAGCTACCTCTCCTTTCCGGTTCTTCCATTCTTTCTGGGATACCCTGTATAATGGTTGATAACCTGCTGTCTTCATTATACAAATTTAGTTTCTGTTAAACCTATACCGTTTTATTTTTATATTTTTATTAATGAAAGAAAGTCTAATATATTTTCAGTATTGCGTACAAATTTCATTAACCTTAAAATAAAACCGAAATATACATTTTTATATACAATTATATATATTTGCTTAAAATTATCTAGCATTTCTTGGATATAAATGAAAATTTCCTCTGGCACTCGAAGGGTTAAATCTCAATTATTTATTTCAGAAATGGCCACTGGAAGTGTTCCATAAAAAATCATCGTTCCACCTCCGATTCATCTCTTCAAGGATCTATGATCTGTCTAAAGTCTGTAGTGACTTGTCAGCACCCTTTCCATGAAAAAGACCCAGTTGTTTCGTTTCGTTCGACTGACACGGTAATTTTCGCTTTCTCGTGGAAGGACGTCGGTTGCGTCGCGGCATTTGTGTCAGGCCCAACGCAACGTCATTCCACGGCTCGTTTTGTGGAACGGTGGTTCGTTAACGTGTTCCCCCGGTTCATTCTGATACGAACGTGACAAACGTTACCGTTGCGCCGTGGAAATGGCGTTCCAGTTCCAGAAGAAAAAACCGGCCTTTCATAAACTCACGTACGCGCCGCCATTAAAGCAGCCCTCCGCCGGCTGACGCTTTTTGCGCGGTCACAATGTCAATTCGAGCGACGTTCCTAATACGATTGAAAGGCGCAAGCCTTCGTCGAATTGAACTGCGACGTTTACGAGCTCGTTCGACGTGATTCTAAGTCACTTTCGTGTGAACAAATTAAAATAGCTACGACACGTTGATGGAATTGACCCCTTTGGCATAGTAAAATGGGTTTTTGTCTCTGTTACATCATAAGTAAGGGGACAAAATACTGTTTCTCAAAGGATTTTTAATGTTCTGAGAAGGAATCAATAGTATAGATATGTGAAAAAAATATTTAAAATAATATTTACTAGAAGATTTACTAGAATAATGTTTATTAAATCGGATCTAACCTAACACAATAATAGAGAAGTCAGATTAAATGAGACCTGGATGGAGTCAACAACAGGAGCCAATTTAATTAAAGTCGCCACAATGTACAAAGAAAAATAGAAACATTAGAGACGCTGATCAGCAAAGCGTTCGTTTCACGTTTAAATTAATAATTTATTGACGATTTGCAGAATACACGCGTGATTCTCCTCATAATTTATAGTCGAATGTAAACATCCGCCGGTTGTGCCGGCTGCACGTACAATGGGGGCGTATAAATCGCTGAATCGATTTGCAAGCGGTTTACATCGTATTTCCGCCATCTTGAATTGATTTACAGCTAGTACTAATGCGCGAGTTCCAATGATTGTTCCGTCTTTTCCGTGAAACGTCCTTTCTACGAATGTATTACGTGGGTGTTTTATCGTCGATGAAGCACATCTCGTTTTACGAGAGACGTTGAATTTATCGCCAATTGACCTCGTCTACCAGGCTAGATTAAATTACAGTCTCGTTCCTGAAGACAATGAGGCTTCGATCACCTCTCTAGCAATCCAAAGTAATAAAGGCTCTCATGATGTGCCTCGCTATTACGACCTAAAAATTGAAACAGATACTTCTGTGGATTTCCTAATGCTATTGTTGTGGATCTTCCTTCATAATATCAATTTACTATTTGTTCTTCATTATTGAGTAACTGTCTTAGAGTAACCTGTTTTGATGATTGAGTATTGCTCTTCATTACTAGTAGAGTGTCCTGCCTCTACAACTATTGTTGTAGATCTTTCTTCGTAATATCGATTTCATATTTATTCTTCATTATTACCAACACGGTCTGCTTTGACGACTGAATGTTCTATATTACCAGCACGGTCTGCCCTAACGATTGAGTGTTCTATATTATCAGCACGATCTGCCTTAACGACTGAGTGCTCTATATTATCAGCACGATCTGCCTTAACGACTGAGTGTTCTACATTACCAGCACAATCTGCCTTAACAACTGAATGTTCTATATTACCAGTACGGTCTGCCTTATCGCGTAAGTATTCTGTATTGCCAACAGAAACTAAAATTTCACCTAGATCGATCAATATTCCAAAAAATTTCCACATTTTGAACATCCTATCTTCGATTCTTCTTCCCGGTAAGTTGATGCGATTCATCCCATCGCTAGTCTGAAGTCGTGAGCATCCCGCATACTTCACGCCACGACCCGCTGCTCAAACACTATACCCACATAAGAAAAGACCATCGCACGATGATATGCATTAATGCATTGGGGCTCAAGTTCGTTCTATTACGGCTACCAGGTACTGTTTCGTCATTAATATTCGATTAACCTGCGAACGCCGTGAACAATGGTCGTCGACTTATGGTCGAGCGGAGGCTCAACCTCCTTTTAAATTTTTTCCGATTTCCTAGGCTTCTCAAATCATGAATCGATTCTTGAAACATTATGGATGTGTATTGTAGAGATGTGTTATTTCCTGGAAGTATTATTAGCACTATTAGACAATACAATTTGTAATTTATTATCTAACCCAATATCTTTATTGTGACCATCTTGAGTAATCCTTTGCGCGGAGACCATGCAATCAAACTCCCATTGGGCTTATAGATAATGTTATTTGTATTTGAATATCATAGCTTGGTATGACGCTGCAGTAAAGGTGCCATTAGTGCCATACACGCGGGCATGACACGGCAGTCAAGGTATTAAATTACTCAGCTGAACATGCATTGAAAGTGAAGCATGTCCTTGCGAGGCAATTGTGTAGCCTTTACGCTATAACAGATGCCACGCAAAGAAACTCCTCATCCTGGGTTGTTAAAGGATTACCCAGCGAGTAGACTAATCTACTATGAGTCTATCAATGTTCACCAAGTCCTTACACTATACAACCACTATCCAGCCTCGAATGATTTTCCAAAGGCAGTACTGAATCCAGTGGGCTGCCATAAGTATACCGGGCTATCATAAATTAAAAAGCAAAGAGTAATATCGACCTTCCACTCTGATCTTCTACTACAGTCTAATAACATAACCTAGCCAACTTGTAAATGCTCTGATTGGGTATGTACCATTACCAAAACATAAGGAATCTTCCAAAACCAGTACTGAGTCCTACCAGTGTGCTGTCACAAGTCTGCCATGCTATTATTAATGAAGAAACAAAGAACAACATCGATCTTCCAATCTGATCTTCTACTACAGTCCAATAACAGAACCTAGCTAACTTGCAAATGTTCTGATTGGGCGTGTCCCATTACCAACACACAAGGGATGGAAGCACGCCTAGGCTGAGTGCCCGAGGGCACAGCAGAAGCCATCACGTGGTTAAATGAAATTCAGGTCGCCCAAGGAGACTTTCTTTATCTACTCTGCGCTCAACTATAAATTCTCGTTCTGATGTGTCGGCTCTAAATTCTGATCAAAGGAACTCCACTGTATGCAAAGTGAAGCAAATCTCGTTAAAAAGTCACGCTGGATATGGAACACAATAAAAATAAACAATGTATGCGTAACCGCGCCGACTGGATTATATCACTTAACCTTTCACGCACACATGGCCGCGCGTACGAGCCAGCCAATTACGTTGGCCGGAATTACGCAAGGAGGCACGCGGAGAGTCTTATGCTAATCGTTCCGTTGCGAGAAATGAACAGAAATTGGGGTACACCGATAGTCATTAGGCGTAACGTTGCCAAATACATACCGATCCGGATTATTCAGATCACTCTCATTATCTCGGAGGTCAGGCTGGGAGTAAGAACGAATTCTAGATGCCGACTTTCACGCTGCGTTCTCTCTCGTACGCATCGACGCACGACTGCGTTGTAACAGCACGCAATACATGCTCTAGCGGAGCTCTGGACACCATAGAGATATTAGAGATAAAGCAGCTCCACTGTTAGAAAGAGAAAGATACGGTACCCTATCTCTGTGCTTTGTCGATATAAAAATGGCCTTATAGACAGAGATAGCTAGAGTACCGCGGTTTTCTTTCTCTTTTTAATTGTTGTACGGTCTGGCTCGCCTATGCCATCTATAATATCTCTGTGACCAGTGTCCGTTGAAAAATTCCGAAAGATGGCGTCGCAACCTGGGTTGGTT